GTTGTTGTTTCTTTATGTTCTCCTGTAGAAGCAAATCTGAGCTGTAACATGATGCGTTTGCTTGTTTAATCAGGTCAGCCATTGTTCAGACTCAGAGACGGGTTCAGGACTGGGCTGCAGGTTTATTAACAGGAGACTGAGACCAGGTTTTATGATCCAACATCGGTTTTAACCTCCATTATCCAACGTACAGAACTCCTGTTGCAGCTGATATTGTTTCCTATCATCATTTTGTTGCAGGAAGGTCGAGACCCCCACTGGGGATCACCAAAGCTTCAAATTGATTAAATATTTCTTCTGAAATATAGATTATTATTTAAGATCTAAACACACAAACAGTCTCGCCCTGCGTTAGAAAAGTACGCCAAGTATAGCAAGCATTAGGGAGAAGAAAACACTGAATTTGATTAAAAGAAAGAAGCCTATTAAGTCTGTTTGATTGTTGAAAAAAGTAAAATATCAATAAACACACAATACAGACGTAATTTAGTAAATTCAAGCCATCCCTCAAACACAATATCATACAAAAAGTCGAATTACACGGTTGGAAACATTTAGAACTAAAGTCCAGTTCCCCCGAATCCCTCCGAGACCACGATCTGTAAACAAAACCATCCTGTCTGGACCTTTCACAGGGACACAACTGAGAGGAATGTTGTATTTTTGTTGTAAACAAATCTGGATTTTTTTTTATTTTAGTGAAACTAAAACAGTTAAGAACAAAAATATTTAACTTGCACCTTTTTAGACGATTTAATCTGGTTTAAATGCAGCGTTTATTAACCTTTTTATTTAATGGAGCCCTTTTCTATCACTGAATAAACTGAAAAAGTGACTTATTTTATTGATATTTCACATTATATTCAATAATAACAATAACAGTAGAGAACAACAGATAAACTGTACAATGAACTCAAACAGTGAACTCAATAACTGCAGGAAGTTTGTGTAAAATTAGTGATTCAGATTCATTTTGAGCAGATTATTTTCTGTTTTTAGTAACTTTTTAAACAATTCTCTGTTTGTATTATGTTAATTTTTTAAATTTCAAATCAGAGAGTGAATAAAGTTTGTGTTCAGGTCTTTAAAGTTTAGATCTTAATAATATTAACTTTATAATGTATAAAATTTACTTTTCTCCTGAATATTTGTTTTATGTTGCAGTAATTTCAATTAATAGATTAAATGAATAGATTTGTTAAAACAGGACGAACATCCTTGTTTTTATGTTTATTTTCCTTCCCTTTTTTGAATAAATGCAGTGTTTTTATATTGTATTGATAACATGAAGGTTGAATGTTAAGGTCTTTAAATGTAAATTATATATATATAATATATAATATTGGGCCCAGAATTGGTCGTAGTGTCATTATTTTACACAAAAAAAAATGGCAGAAAAGTCATTTAAAGGACCAGTGTGCAGAATTTAATGGCATCTAGCTGCTGATTGCAACTCCATCGCTTCACCCTCCCTTTCCAACTGGGACTCTAAGGTAACAAAAACACAACAAATTTTATTTTCAGGTAATTAAACACTAATAAAAACATACCTATGAGTATTATATTGTATTTCTGCCACTAGATCCTCCTGAATGTTTCACTCTGGACCTTTAATTACTTGAATCGATGCTTTAATACGAGCGCAGCCGAACAACAAGCGACCACAGTGAGGTTGAAACTACCTGCTTCCATCGAGCTTTGAAGGCCTCACAATCACTTCAGCAGGATACGAGAGGCTGAGAAAGAAGAAGGTACTATTCAAACTCTCAAGTTGTCGCTTTTTTTGTGTGCGTAAACCACCGTGAATGCCTTTAAGGACGGACTACTTGAGCACATTTACGCAGTCAGAAGCACAAAGACACACAAAAGGGACGCCGGGTTCTCGGAGGGGTGAGGCGTCATGATGCAGTCAGGCGGAGGTTTTGACAGCAGGCTTTTTTGGCTTTAATGCACCTCTCGTACGCTTCGGCTGCACCCCGCCGATGGCTGTCACTGGCTGCCAGGGTTGCATCAGACCCCTCCACAGTTTTATAAGAAGAAAATCAGCTTTTGGGCGTCAAAAAAGTGAAAAAAAAACAACCGAAAATGGGCCAGAATCTGAATCAATCATAATGTTTATATCTAAAGCCTGTTGTGTATTTCTGTGTTTCCTCAGTTGGCACATTGATGAACGTGTTTTCTGAAGCTGTTGAGCTCTCAGGGTCTCGACATGTTGGAGACTAGAAGCTCTGAATGTTGTTTTTAAGTGAAACGGAGATGTTGACACGTTTAAGAGGAATATGACAAACTAAATCAGTTAGTTTGAAGCGTAACTGAACCACATTTTGTCCATCAGTCCCCCAAATATACAACAGAATTATGTGTTTTTAAAATAATCTTGTCGAGCATGTTTTGCATTAGTAAAGTAATCGGGTTTTCGGAAAATATATCTAATATGTCTTCATATTGTGTGATTTCATCCTATTTGCTATGACTGGAAAATGTATAATGAAGGAAATCTTGATAATCTTTAATCTTGAGATCAATTATTTGTGGTTCAGGATTAAAAGAAGAATAAAAAATAAAGGTAAACATTAATATCAGAGTGTTAGCAGCTAAAAACTGACGATATTTAGTTCATTTCTTGATTTAAACAGTTTTAGAAGTGAATTTTATGGTGATATTTCAAAGAAAATAGTAAAAAAAACAACTGGCTATAACTGTCCAGTCAGAAGAGACGCAATGCATTATGGGTCGGTTGAGTGTGTGCAGCAGTCTTACTAATCTAGTTAACATCTGGACGTTTGTCACGTGCACAAAACTCACATACAACACAGCTGAAAAACTCAATCTGACGTCCTTCTTAGAGCCAATCCTACGTTAGCATCTGATTTTAAACGCCTTTAGGTGCGAACTTTCATAAATATCGCAGATTTTGTGGGGAACACACTTAAAATCTGTGTTGGAGGCCTCCCAGAGTGTCTGTACCTCGGTTACTGCCGTGCATAAATACAATAAAACGTGGTTATTTCCGTCCTGGGAGTTGCAGATGCGCATTGCTTCCCCCGACTCAAGAAACCCCTGAATGCAGCAACTAGGACGCGTCCCTCTGCTGCAGTAAAATACATTTTTTCACCAAACAAGGACTGCACATTTTGTCTCCCCCCGCTCTCGCCGTCTCTCCTATAAAGGGAATCACTCTCAGGGGTGGCGTGACAGCAGGAATGACGAGTGATTGCGCTCTGAATGATCGCTCTGCCTAATGTGAGCGTGTGTGTGAACACGAAGAGCAAACGACAGAAAAAATGTGGCAAAAAGGGACCCGACGCATAAATCCAGCAAACGGAGGGGGTTTAGGAAGGAGCGTCGGGAGGAGACGGGAGGAGACGGGAGGAGACGGGAGGAGGACACGTTAATATATAACCCACCAGTCGCCTCAGGTCGCTCTGACACCTGACTCACTCTCCTGCTATAAGACACAAAAAGACTCCACATTGTATGGATATCTGCTCCACTACAGGCTTTTAAACAACCTCCTTTCCATCCTGATGTCAATCACGCCGTCACCGCCACGCTGATTTATTTCAGGGCTAAATGAAAAAAAAGAAAAATCAAACACATTTTTTAAAAGGTCAGACAGTCTATATCCATCTTCTGTGGGGATCGATCGGACTCAGAGAGTCTCTGGGAAAACACTAAATAAAGGGTCTCAGTCGGCGGCACTGATTCCCTCACAGATCTATAAGAGTCTTAATTGACGGGTCAGTGTGGAGAAGTAATCTGACTACTGCTCCACCAAAAACAGCACAAGAAATCAGAGATGAATTGATCTCACAGTGAATCCGAAACACACACCAATGAGACACACTGAGCGTATCGATCGCTCATACCGACGACCTTCGCGCTCGCTGCCGACCTCTGAACCGACGCCTACAACGAGTCTGGTGTCGTGTTCGGGACGCTTGTTTCCAGTCTGAGCTTCACATTAAGTTTTACAGGAAGACAAAATGATTGGATTTTGATATAAAAATACAAAGAAATTGATTTTTTTGGGCATAACATGTTAAATATGGGAACAATATAACTGAGGATTTGATCTTAAAGGGTTAAAATTGACTTTAATATCATCAAAAGAATCATTATATCACAGATTTTGGGGGGGGGGAAACCAAATAATTCCCATATAGAGAGGACCTTTCTCATTCCCAGGTGATCACACACTAGAAAAACACACCTATGAATATTATATCTAATTTCTGCTAATAGATCCTCCTGGATGTTACACACAGACTCACTCAACTATTCAATATTCAGTGCAGCAGATGGTCAAACACAAACACACTGAGTCACCATGTCATTTTATATTTTACATACAACTAAATGTCTTCTGCTTGTCCTGCAGCCCTCGATTTAGGTCAGCGTGTTCTGTCTGTCTCTCTCTCTGTGTTCATTCCTAATTAAAATAAGCGCAGCATCACATCTGCACATCACAATACGCCGTCCAGGTGGAGGCTGACGACAACATGTGAACGGATAAAGATGCGGAGCACAGCAGGGACCGCTTCACGACAGAAAAAGCTGCTTTTTTTCAACCTGAAACACTTTTTTAGAAGAGAAATAGCTGCAGGTTGATTTGCAGACTCTCTCCCACCTACATTTTAAAACTAGCCGCCTGCAGTCGGCCTGTTTAATGCAACTCTGTGCTTTTGAAGCTGATTCCTTCCAGTGATGCCTTCCAGCACATTTATAGTATTTTTGTCTTTTAAGGCTCAGCGCAAACCAAAAAAAACCACCTCCTTTAATCCATATTCTGCCATAAATAAGCCACTCGTCTTCCTCCCGCTAACCTTCGAGTGTCCTGATTAACGTATGTTTTCGTGCTTCATATCTTACCTCCTCGTGAAGTATGGCCTTACACATGGAGTAGTTCCCCTTCAGCGCCCACGTCCCATTTGCGAGACATTTCCTATAAACATTATCTGCAGAGAGAGGAAGAGGAGAACAAACTGTTACTGATAATACTCATATTTTATTCATTTAAGAGTTCTTTTTTTGTATCCCTGGAAATGAACGAGACGTGGATCGTAGATCGGTGGCGGCACTGTGACCTTTTTTCCTGCTGTTGAGACTAATAGGGAGAGATCATTAGAGGAAGTCTTACAAGCTGTGACTTTTCACACGTTTTGCTGTCAGGACAGTCTGCCACCCTCCTGCCGAAGCATCGTTCTTTACATCTTGAAAACCCCCATGCTTTCATCGTCAATGCACGCCGTTTATTTCCTTAAAGTTCTTCACATAAATGTCACTTTCCTGGAAAACTGCGACACTTAAAATGAATCATTTTATTCACCGGTCGCCT